GCTACAACACTCAGCTGTTTTTTGTTGCAGTTTGGCCATGGGCCGGGTTTGAACCTGCCACCCTCAGTATATGGGGCTGGCGCCGTACTCACTGAGCCACAGGCACCTCCCGATTCCCCTCACATTCTGATCTAATTTCACTAGCTGAGTGGCAACTTCAAATACCGCATAGAATGAAAAAGTCCCCAAAGCCCCTATTAAGACCTGGCATATAAAAAGGTGATATCCAGACTGTCCTCAACTTACAATCATTTGATTTATGATTCTTTAACTTTACAATGGTGTGAAAATGATTGGAATTTAGTAGGGACTGTATTTCAAGTCCCTGTATAGCCACTAATCCCATCATGTGCGCTCTACCGTCATGACCTAATAACCCCCCAAAGGCCTCATCTCTAAAGTTATTGGATCACCACTAAAGAGCCAGAATATTAAAGTAGTAGAAAGATTTGGGATGAGAGTTTAGACACTGACAATCTAATCCCAGGTTGATAGTACCCATCTATGTAAACTTGAATTTGTGGCTTGCTAGTAGGTATGAAAGTTAATTAGATTCTTAATTTTCTTATGTCAAAAATGCAGATAGAAGTAAATACCTTGATGGACTATTACAAGGATAAAATAAATAATATAAGAAAAATATAGAAACACTGTATCAGGAGGTCTACCATTTCTTTCTTTCTAAATCCCATTCCTTTAGTTTCTTCATCTATGTTAAAACTAATAGCATTCTTGAGAATTTGTGATTCTCAGCCCTTCTGTGTTTTCTCCAATGTGTGTTCTACTTTAAGAAATGTTGCAAGGATCCTTTATGTAAGTAAGCTATTTCTAGGGGGTGGAGAAAGTGCAAATTAAACTGTTTTATTCCTCTGCTCCAAAAGTAGAGTCCTTTGCTTTGATTTTTTTTTTCTCACTCAGCAGAAATATCTGCATTGACTTAGAACTCTCTTGAAAAGAAAATTATCACAGATTTAGTCACATGATCAGAAAGAACAAATGTTCAGTCTGGGATACAGTGTGAGTGACAGTAAATATGTTGTTACAATGAACATTTCTAGTTCCCCTGTGTTCCTGTGGCAGATATTTGAGAGCTGCGTGGTACCTATGACATTGCTTGGCTCTCTGGGAGAATGATGCGCTGAACTGGTTGCTGCTTTGTTTAACAGGTGGATTTTCAGAAAAGACATACGAATGGAGCTCAGAAGAGGAAGAGCCAGTGAAAAAGGCAGGACCAGTCCAAGTCCTCATTGTCAGAGACAACCATTCCTTTGAGTTAGATGAAGCTGCCCTAAACCGGATCCTTCTCTCGGAGGCTGTCAGAGACAAAGAGGTTGTCGCTGTGTCCGTCGCTGGCGCCTTTAGAAAAGGGAAGTCCTTCCTCATGGACTTCATGTTGAGATACATGTACAACCAGGTAATGAAGAGGGGCTTTAAAAGTTTCTTGTGTCGGGTGGCGCCTGTGGCTCAAGGAGTAGGGTGCTGGCGCCATATACTGGAAGTGGTGGGTTTCAAGCCCAGCCCTGGCCAAAACTGCAAAAAAAAAAAAAGTTTCCTGTGTCCTGTGCTTCTGTCACTTTGTGTTTTTTATTTAGCAGTGTTTACTGTTTCCATTTTTATTATGATGCACTTGAAATATGAACCAGTTAAAAATTGCTGTGGTGTAACGGTTCCAGCCTCAGTGCTTTGGGTTCCACACTACACAGGCGACTTTCCTCCGAAGCTACTTTGTTGCATCTACCTTAGGATATAATTACTTTTATTCTTTTAAAAACAGACACAGTTTAACATTATGATTATAAACTTACGTTACAGGCTTTAAATAACTTTTGCCATAACTTCTATGTTGTAATCACTTTTTTCTAACATTTACTGTGACATTTTTCAAGCGTGTAGCAAAGTTAAAAGAATTCTCTAGTGAATATCTGGGAACCCGCTACCTAGGTTCTACCATTGACATGAACGTTCTTGCTTTATCACTGGTGTCTCCCATGTTCATCTCTTTCCATCCATCACTCCATCTTACTTATTGATGCATTCCAAAGTAAACTGTTGTATCAGTACACTTTCCCATAAAAATATCTATATGTATCATTATTACATACAAAGATCAGTATTTAAGGGTATTTTTAGATACAATTTATATACAACAATATGTACAAATCTTAAAAGTACATTCGTGATTTCTGACAAATGCATAGACCTGCTCTGTCAAGATAGAGAACTTTGCCATTTCCCCAGAACGTTCCCTTTGATCCTTTACTTGTCAGTTCTTACTCTCAGCCTCCCCCTGGAGGTAACCGATAGTGTCGTAAGGTTTGCACCAACAGTGTGGCACAGAAAGAGACTCTGAGGGACCCAGGACAGAGCAAAGCAGAAGGATAGATAGGAGATTAGGGGTGAGGAACAAAAGGCTGGGAATGGAAATATCTAGTACTTTTCCTACCCTTTAGTCCATAGGAATTCTGATACCCAAAGACGCTTGTGTTGTGTGTTTACACTACAATTAAGCATTTTAGATTGATCGTTTATACTTGAGGTGTTTTTGAACAATTTTATAATGTTAACTTTAACATTTTCTATCTCTAACCTCAGTTCAAACATATCAAGAATAGAACTACCAAAATGATTCAGGCTTTAAAAGCAAACAAAAGTCTTACCAATCCTTATTTCTAGCATACCAACCTTAGTATGCTACTTAACACAGGTGGGAAAATTGAATGAACAAATTCTCTTCCTCTTCTTTGGGGTTATACAGTTCTAGGCATGTTCATAATTTTAACTGTTAAACATCAGAATCAAATGTATCTTGTCATGTTGCTTGTGTTAAGTAGCATTTGCTCAGATGAAAGTGCGTAGGATCGTGGGTTTCTTTTTTTGTTTGTTTTTTCCTGCACCCAATAGAGCATTCAGAAAGCAAGCCAGAATGAGGACACTTGTTTGCATAAGTGAATGTATCACTGACTGGGTTAAAGCAAAGCCCACTTTCATTTCTATATGTATGGGGTGGTCATAAAGTTCGTGTGCAATTTAAAATACTTTAACATAGCAAATTGCACTTGAACTTTATGGACAACCTGTATAATTATCATTCATATTAGAATGGCAAAATTCAATTTCAAATGTGATCTATGTTGTTCTTAGGAAAACTGTAATTAAGCTTATCTGATAATAATAGGTGAGTAGTAATCAAAAATGAATTTTTGAGAAAAATATTGAGTGCATATTTGAGCAAATGAAACAAGCTAAATTTTAGATCTGCCAACATAACTATTAGTGGACATTTTCCTTGCCTTTCAAAATTATTTTTCAAGCTTAGGGTTTTTATAAATATCTAGAGGTCGATCACTGACCAGATGTTAATGTTATAGTAATTTTATAATACTGATTCATAATATCACAATATATTCATTGAAGGATTCATCCCAAGATTTATTCCGGGCAATGCCCTTTTAGAGTAATTTTCTAAATCAGTTAGTAGGTGTTTATTGCCTACCTGCTGCCTGCATTATGCTCATCACAGTGACGGATACCAGAGAAGACAGAGATTTTTGACATCTCACGGTTTAACCAAGGAGACAGAATCAAGATAAAGGAATATTTAAAGCATCATTACATGCTAATCCATGTGTTTCTGAGTGTAGCTTGAGGACGTATCTTTGTAGGCAGGAATTATCAGGGAAACCTTCATAGGGAAGGACCCGAGGATATATTTGGAAGATGTGCAGGACCTGATCAGGAGAGGGAGCAGGAGGGGACCCATGAGACTAGGAGGACTGAGCATGAGGTATGCGATAAACAGAGGGTAGACCTTCTTCCCCGGAGTGGAGATGAACAAGAAATAAGATGGAACAGGTGTGTGCCAAGCGACGGAACCAAAGTATACAGGACCCAAACTTGAGCTCTGGATAAGCGTCCAAAATGCTACAGAGCAAGATAGGACATAATGAAATAAAACTTTCCTTTATAATAATGTATATATACTTCTTATTAATCTGGGTTGCCTGCTTCCAAATTCCTCTGCATTAATTAATATGAGTTTTTAGATTGGCGTATTATTTAATAAGATTTTCCAAAAATTAATAACGTTTTCTAACAAACACCAAAATAAGTATAACTACTATTAATGAAGGTCACCAGTGGCTTACAAAATCTAAGGGACATTTTCCATTCTGTATCTTCCTGGATCTTAGGTCTTTATACAGTTGACTTTCTTCCCTTCTCCTTTCCTTTGGCTGCTCTAATCTGTACACATCTGTCTCTTTCTCCCCATTGTCCTGGCCCTGGTTCAGGCCCTCAATCACTTTTTGACCTTTGTAATAGCTCGCCCCGTTTGCCCATTCTGGTTATCATTTTCCTTCCCTTCTAACTAGCCCTTTCTGATTCTAGAATAATCTTTCTACTCACAATTGTCATGATAATTCATCTCTGTTTCTTCATAACTCCCCATTGCCTATAGGATAAAATCTAACTCCCTTGAGCAACTTCTTTACAAGACCTTCAGAATCTGACCACCGGCCAGCCTCTCCCTGCTGCTTGCTTCCTCCTCACCCCGTACCAAAGCATTTTATGTATAACCTGACATAAGATGCTCCTTCCTTCATCCCTCTCTCCCTTCCTTCTTCCCAGAATACCTTCTCCAAATTTGCTCAGCTGAAAAATTCCTAAATATTTGTATAGTCTTAGCTCAGACATCAGCTGTGCTCTGAAGTCTTAGCTGACCAGGAGTTTCCTACGCCGCCTTCCACGCGTGCCCTCTGCACACTCCCTCTTCGGCACCCATGTGCTGCATCAGAACGGTTTGTTAGCATCTGTCTCCCTGGTAGGCTGTGAGTTTCCTCTGTCCTGGAATGGCATCTTTTCATCATTATATCCCCCAGAACCTAGCATAAAATGTGGCAGATGTTTGCTCCCTCTAATTATTTTTTTGATGCATGATGTGATTATGTCAGTGCAATAGATATGCCTGTGTTGTTCCTTTTGACTAAAGTTGGGGAGGGGTAAGAATCTGAATAGATGAATGAAAATACTATAGACATATCTAGTTTCATATTACAGACTTTATTAACTTATAGGAATCAGTCGATTGGGTTGGAGATTACAATGAACCGTTGACTGGTTTTTCATGGAGAGGTGGGTCTGAACGAGAGACCACAGGAATTCAGATATGGAGTGAAGTCTTCCTTATCAATAAACCTGATGGTAAACAGGTATGATGCGAACTTTTTAAGTAAAATTGAGTTTTCACTTGCAACAGTTATACTTTTCAGGATCCTTGTGAATACTTTTTGAGAATTAATTTTGCCCAGTTGACGTGAAGCTTCCAGTGGAGGTGGCATCCTACCGTGTTTCCCTGAAAATAAGACCTACCCCAGAGTAAGCCCTAGCAGGATTTCTATGCATTTGTTAAACATAAGCCCTACCCTGATAATAAGACCTAGTGATGGCCGTGGCTATGCATAGCCACGCCATGCATTTCGGAGCGGAGTGGTAAGAAAGAGTGGAATACCTTTTATCTGCCCCAGCTCCTTTCTCCAAGCCGTTCGCACTTGCATGGATGTGTGTGTGGTAACCATGGTCGCAGGCATCCTATTGTGCATGTGCAAACGGCTAGGGGAAAAGAGTTCACACATCACCAGCACCAGCCCCACCAACAAGGTCGGCTCCCTCTGTCAGGTTCTAGAAGAAGATGACTTAACTGTATTTGAATAAATGTAGATTGTTGTATTATACTTAATAAAAATAAGACATCCTCTAAAAATAAAGCCCTAGTGTGTCTTCTTGAGAAAAAATAAATATAAGACAGTGTCTTATTTTCAGGGAAACACAGTATCGCATGATCCCAGTTCCCTTCTGTTGATCAGGGTGGCCCCAGTTGACATGAAGCCTCCAGTGGAGGTGGCATCCTATCGCATGATCCCAGTTGCCTTCTGCTGATCAGGGTGGGCATGATTATACAGACAATAAAAAACTGGCAAGCTGATGTCAGTATTTTTTTTCAATGCCACATAGAGTTTCTGTTAAGTTGGATTACCAATGAAGATTTATTACTTCAGCAATCAGCAGCCAATTAATATTTTTATTTTCTATGGCATTCACAGCATGTGTAAGAAATTACCTAAAGTAGTATTCATTGGTAGTGGTTGGTTTAGTTCTTATGCTGTTAATGTTGTGGTAACCCTGATAACTCAGCAGTACTACACTCCTTGCTTACAGGTTGCCGTGTTACTGATGGATACTCAGGGAACCTTTGACAGTCAGTCGACGCTGAGAGACTCGGCCACAGTGTTTGCCCTTAGCACAATGATCAGCTCAATACAGGTATGGACTGGAATAAACCCGTTTGGGTGCATGTTTCTTTAACTGAAATCATGAGTGTATCTTTCTATACACATGTGATAGTGAGATAAGCAACAGAAATGGCAAATCATATATAGCATGTGACTTAATTAGCATAACAATTCTTGTGATTTCTGTAGGAATAAAATTGTTTTTGTTCCTGTAGTATAGTTACTGACAAGTTTTCAAAATGACTCCTTCAGTCCGACAAGATTATGTTATCTTATTGGTATTTTTCTATTTAAAGCCTTCAGTAAACTCAAAAATATTAAATATTCTCTGTGTATACATTGGGGCCACCTATTATAAGTTATATTTAATGAAACAGGATTTACATATATGTAGTTTTATGCAGCCAGTGAAAATGTTTCTAAATGTAAAAACACTTATGTGTGTTCATAAATTATTAAAACACACCTTAATATACATTTAGGAAAGTAAATGCCTTAATTAAATTTTTTCTTTCCTTTTATCTTTTTCTTTTAAAAAGTGTTGGTTTTGAGGTGATTGCAGGCTTTCTAAATTGTCCTGAAAATCCTTGGAGAATTTTATTAGAATTTGATTATAATGATATAATAAAGGATTTTAAGACTGTTTTTAGATATTTTTTCAATTCACTAGAGAGAGCAAGAAGAGAGAGTGGCCAAAGAACAGCAGATCAATAAAAAAAAATGAGATGAGATAGTTTTAAAAGGCAGGAGAGGCAAAGTAGTGAGGGTGGGAGCGTCAGGGCTGATGGTGTCACCACATACAGGGGATGGAGGGGCAGAACCAGCACCAAGGTATTCAGATGGGGTTAGGGCAACCAAGAGAGGGTGACTAGAAAAAAGAAGGGAAGATTGAGTTTGTCTCACGTAGTGTGAAGGACTTTAAAGTAAAAAACATGGGAAAAAGGCATGGCCTGAACAACTGACTAGCTTTTAAAAATCTGCTATATTTTTAAAAAATTGATAAAAATTTATATATTAATCATGTGTGACAAGCTATTTTGAATATGTATACATCTTAGAACACCTCAGCCAAGCTTATTAACCTGTGTGTTACCTCACATACTTATTTTTGTGGTGCACACATATACTGTTTTTTTAGAGACAGTCTTACTTTATCGCCCTTGGTTGAGCGACGTGTCATCACAGCTCACAGCAACCTCCAATTCCTGGGCTTAGGCAATTCTCTTGCCTCAGCCTCCTGAGTAGCTGGGACTACAGGCGTCCACCACAATGCCCGGCTGTCTTTTTGCTGCAGTTTGAACCTGCCACCCTTGGTATATGGGGCCAGTGCCCTACTCACTGAGCCACAGCCACCACCTCACATATACTTTTTTTTTTTTTTTCAGTTTTTTGGTCCAGAGCCAGGTTTGAACCCGCCACCTCTGTTATATGGGGCCAGCGCCCTACTCCTTTGAACCATAGGCACCGCCCACATATACTCCTTGAATGAGCCTTTAAATAATTATACACAGAGTATACTGTTTGTATCATTACATAAACGTACAAACGGAAACTTTTCTTTGAATTAATATTTATTCCTCTCAAAAGAGAAGAAAGTTGTCTCAATGCTGTGATGTGTTTATGAGACAACAGTGCATATGTGTAAGGGTGACTTGTTATTCAGAACCTAACTTTTATGTGGTGAAACTCTATGTAATCATAAGCAAAATAATCAACTGTGAAGAAGTCAACATAATTATTCAAAATAAAATCTTTCATATGGATTGCTCAGATTTATTTATTTTTTTAGCCGGGGCTGGGTTTGAACCTGCCACCTCTGGCATTTGGGCCGGCGCCCTACCCTTTTGAGCCACAGGCAGATTGCTCAGATTTAGATTGCTATTATTTTAGTATGCTTAGAAGAATGATTTTGGCCAGGCATGTTGGCTTACACCTGTAATCTTAGTCCTCTGGAAGGCTGAGGTGGGTGATTGTCTGAGCTCAGGAGCTCGAGACCAACCCGAGCAAGAGCGAGACCCCATCTCTACTAAAAATAGTGGAGTACATATAGTGCCAGCTGAGGAGGGAGGCCGAGGCAGGAGAATTGGTCAAGGCCAAAGGTTTGAGGTTGCTGTGACCTGTGATGACATCATGGCACTCTACCCAAGGTAACAGAATGAGATTGTCTTAAAAAAAAAAAAAAGAAAGAATGATTTTTATTTTTCCTAATATCTAGACTAGTTGAATAAAATAATTTTAATATTCTCTGTCCAGAAGAGGTGAGTACTGTATTTCTAGAACCCTGTTGTGATGATTACACATTGTTTATTGTGTCTCAAGATTTGGGGCTCCCCTCTCGAGGCTTTGCAAACATCATTATGGGGCATGAATGTAAGAGAGTCCAATTTTGTGATAACATATGTTTAGAAAAATAGAGAATGACATAGTAAGCGCCGAGGATGATGCCAGTTCTCCTCTCATGTGGACTTTGTTTCTTAATCAAGGTATATAACTTATCCCAAAATGTCCAGGAGGATGACCTTCAGCACCTTCAGGTAACAGCATTTATAAGCTTTTTTGTATATGCAGTTGTCTTTTGAACATGTACAACAGAACTTCGAGGAATGATTTAGAAACATAACTGAATGAGAATTGTATTTTCAGATTTCATGTTAAAAATCTGATCATCTGCCTGGGTGGCTTCCACTCTCCAAGCAGTATTTAAATCTTAAAGAAGGAGAAGCTTGTGTCTCCCCACAGAGGTTCCCATCTCTGTGGTACTCTCTGCTCTCTTTCAATTCATGTTATTGCCATCAGAGGCAGTAGGGTTATATTGTTCCTCTGATAGTTTTCCTTCTCTATATCTTACAGAAAAATATGCTTTCAGTGTATCATCTTGGCAATCAGAGCCATGTAGCAAAATGTGCAAATTGAACAACAAAGGATGATAGAACAGGATGGTCCAGGACCCTGGAAACAGCATTTGGAGCTCACATGTAGCAGTTTGGTTTTAGTAGCTCACACTGACAGTTTATGACAAATGGGCAGCATGCTGAATAATAGTTACATGTTTTTCACAATAAGAACAATCACTTCTCTGGGCACGTGTCATGACCTAGCCAGCTGCTCTCCGAGCTAACGGCCCGGCACTGCTCCATACTAGGGTAGGGGCTTCTAAGAAGAGTGCTGGGTGGGAACTTTGACATTGCACAGTGTATCTTGAGGTAACTTTAAAATTTGCCTGTAAATTACAATATGTTAGCCACCTTCCGAAATTGTTTGAATTCAGATTATCTTAGTAAATGATTCTAGTGAGAGTGCTCCTGGACCAGCTGTCTTTTAGACCTGATCTTTTAGTCTAAAAGACACTCTAATCGGGTGCCTAGTAATTGCCTTTGCTTTCTAGATTCTCGCCACTCCCGCAGGTGAGGCAGCATGATGATTGGGGTGCTGTCCTAGGGGGATAAAAGATGCTTGTGTGTCAGCATTGGTCCCCAGCTCTGAGAGCACCGTGGCATGTTGCTCTCGTGCAGGGAGTGGCTGTTCTGTGTTCCATGCAGCAAGCCACTCGGCCAGTCTGGACACAGCTCTTATCAGAGGCCCGGGCACAATCAGCCCCTCAGGTCTATGATCTCCAAAATCTCACATTGTGGTGCTCCATGGTCTCCCTGGGAGCAGTAAAAGATAAGAGAAGGCAGTGCGTTTGCTTCTCCACTTCCTCAGCTGAGGCCTTGGTGGGGGTCCCAGCCTCGTGCCCCTGCGCTTCCCCAGGCAGTGGCTTCTGTAACTGTGTCCTCCATGGTTTATGGCTTTCTGACCTAATCTATGGAAACTCCGCTTTGAAAGGTCATTTAGTGTATGTTTCTTCTTTCTTCCCTACAAAAAATTAACCCACATTCTAGATATAAAAGATATTAGTTTTAAAATAGAAACTTTATTTTTTAAATGTACTTTAAATATCTTTAATGTTTCAATATATAATTGCTCTCCTATCTCTTTTCTACCTGTCTAATGCTTATTACCTGAACATGATTATTGTCATCTTAATAATACAGTATTTTATAACAGCTAGGGGAAAAGAGGGAGGAAAGCCAAGAAGTAACACTTTGCAGATACTGAAATGTCTCCTCCGTGTGTGTGTATATGTGTGTGTGTATGTGTGTGTGTGCGTGTGTGTGTGTGTGTGTGATTTTTCCTCCAGCTTTTCACTGAGTATGGCAGACTGGCAATGGAGGAGACCTTCCTGAAGCCATTTCAGGTGAGTAAAATGGTTGATTCTTAATAGAGGCTCCTGAAGACTATACTCAGTATATTAATTAATCAGGGTCGTGTTTCTCATTTTCTTCATTTCGTTTAAGAAGCATTTTTGAATAACTATTTAATGCTATTTGATGCAAGGAAGAGATAGAAATGGGGAAATAGAAATTTTTTAATTATTAAAAACAATGGGGATGTAAAAAGATGAATTAGACGGGTGGTGTCTTTGGCTCAAAGGAGTAGGGCGCTGGCCCCGTATGCTGGAGGTGGCAGGTTCAAACCCAGCCCCGGCCAAAAACTGCAAAAAAGAGATGAATTAGACATTCTCACCAGAGAATGAGCTATTCTTCCCTGAACACAACCCTAGAGATGTCACAGGAACCAGAAGAAGCTGATGAATTTGTCAAATGTAAAAGCTAAAACCAACCAACAAGATTCCTGGCACAATAAAAGGTGGTATCTAGCAGCAGCAAAATCCAGCTGAGCACCAGAGAGGAGATGGGGTGGAGGGCAGCTGCTGAAAGTCCTTTTCTTTCTCACACATTAACCTGTTCATTGCCAGAGAGTATCAGGACAGCAGCCAGCTCAGCCCTTGTGGGGACAGCAGGGAATGTCAGGGCAATGCCTCAGCCTGGATAAAGTATACCTGTCTCCTTCATGCTCCTGCCCCTCTTTAAATACCAAGAACAAGGATGTTATGACTAAGTTGAACAGCCCTTAAAAACAGTCCTGGAGGGAGGTGCAGACCTAACACCACCAACTGTTGCCTGAAGTGTGTCTCCTCAGTCTACATTGCTCAGACGGAGCCCAGGCTGAGCTCCGGAGTTTAGCTCCTCCCTGCAGTTACCTATCCCGGTCAGATGGTCACACCCTGAGGGTCTACTGGCCCACAGCCAAGCCGAGCAATTGAGAAAAGGCAAAGGAGAATCAAAGGCCGAAATACCAAGAAATTTAAGAGAAGCTGTAATAGTTATCTTCTGCTGTATAACAAATCATCCCACATGATTTTTGAAGGTCAGGAGACTGGAGTGGCTTAGCCCGCATAGTTTTGGCTTTAGGTCTCTCATGAAATTACGCTCAAGATGTTGGCCAGGAAGACATTCCCTGAATACTTAGTGTGAAGATCTCCCTCCAGGCTCATTCACATGGCTGACGGCAGGAACCTTCAGGTCCTTAACGTGAGGGCCTTTCCACAGGGCTCCCGACAGCAGGCTTCCCCCAGAGCGAGTCATCCAATTGTGAAAGAGAAAGAAAGTAAGAGAGAAGCCACAGTTTTTTATGACCGAATCTTGGGAATGATACACCATCAGTTCTGCCATATTCTTTCTTTCTTTCTTTCTTTTTTTTTTAGAGACAGTCTCACTATGTCTCCCTCAGTAGAGTGCTGTAATGTCACAGCTCACAGCACCCTCCAACTCTTGGGCTTAGGTGATTCTCTTGCCTCAGCCTCCTGAGTAGCTGGGACTACAGGTGCCCACCACAACACCTGGCTATTTTTTTTGGTTGCAGTTTGACTGGGGCTGGGTTCAAACCCGCCACCCTCAGTATATGGGGCTGGCGCCCTACTCACTGAGCCATGGGCGCCACCCAGTTTTGCCATAGTCTGTCAGCCATACAGACCAACCCTGGTAATGTGAGAGAGGACTAAAAAAAGACATGAATACCAGGGCAGTGATCCTGGGGGGTGTCTGAGAGGCTGACCAGAAGGTTTGCAAATTAAATACTCTTGGAAGGCCAGGTAGGGGGCCTTATGCCTATAATCCTAGCACTCTGGGAGGCCGAGAGAGGGGAGGATTGCTTGAATTTAGGAGTTCAGGACTACCCTGGGCAAGAGTGAAACCCATCTCTACTAAAACTAGAAAAAATTAGCCAGGTGTCATGGTATACCCCTGTAGTCCCAGCTACCTGGGAGGCTGAGGCAGGAGGATTGCTTGGGCTTGCAGAGAGCTATGATGCCATGGCACTCTACTTGAGGTGACAGAGCAAGACTCTGTCTTAAAAAAAATAATAATTGGGCAGCACCTATGGCTCAGTGGGTACAGTGCCGGCCCCAT